CTCTTTGTGATCTTTTATTTCATTGCCAATTGATTTAATGGCTAAATGGAATATATATATATATATATATAGTTCTCTTCGTATTTTTCCCCTGTGCGTTATTTTAGCAAATTATCCTCGGGGTTAACACAATTAATTAATGGTCTCCAAAATACTTCACTCCATAAAATTGTGGATCCTGTTATTGTGAAGTGTTCTCTTCGTATTTTTCCCCTGTGCGTTATTTCAACAAATTATCCTTGGGGTTAACACTATTAATTAATGGTCTCCAAAATACTTCACTCCATAAAATTGTGGATCCTGTTATTGTGAAGTTTATGCAAAACAACATTTTTCAGCCAGTCTAAACACAAGAGCTTAGAAGAAAAAATAGGAAAAAACTTACTTTTGTGTGCAACTGACCATACACTGAACTGAGAAAGCCCCAAATGCTCATGAGACAGTTGTTTCCTGACTCTACTCCCTTCCCAGGAGATGAGAACTTGGACTCACCTCCTTTCACGAAAGGTGCAAGGTGGAGGATCACAGCCATGAGTGTTAGATCTGAAATCACATTTTTACTGTGTCTCTAAGCACATTGGCACCTTTCTACTTTCTCATTTTTGAATTGACAACTCAGAAACAACATAAACTCTTTCCTTCCACCTCAGGGCTAGGAAGTCAGGACTTCAAATCTTTGCAGTCTTCAGCATACCAGGGTACTTCAAAAAGTTCATGGACAATCAGAATTAAAAGATAATATGAATTTTTCCATGAACTTTTTTGAAGTACCCTTCTATATTTTGACAAGCAGTATAGAATCCATAGTTTAGCTATAGTGTTGCCACACTAGATCCTTGGTACAGCTAGTATTTCCCAGAAAGATCCAGATCTTTTGGGATGGGAAACAAAGTACACTTAAACTTACAAATTTTTTTATAGCCCAAACTAAAACATATTTGTATTCATTCATGCTGTGTTAATCTAAGTAATCCAAATCAACACTCATTCACTGGTTAGGTCAGAGTTGGTCTGATGACCCTGTAATATGAAATTATCTAACTGGTCTTGAGCTATCTGATGTTATAACATGAAATACAGAAACAGCATTGAACCTGGATATCAAGTGACACCAGCACATGGGCTTCTCATGAAATGGATTAATATAGGGATATACTCTAAAAACTTTTTTGCATATACTGAGATAAAACCATAATCCTTGTAATCTTCATTCTCATAAAAAATATTAAAAGGTTTGTTCAGTGGTTCTCAAACTTTTTGGTCTCAG